GGCCCGGGCTGGCAGGCGGCCGTCGTCTTGCCGGTCCGCTATTTCTACCTGCAGGCGGTCAACGCGGAGGGCCAGAATTTCACTCGCTCGCCCCCAGGTAGCCTCCAGCTGCTGGCCTCGCTCAACTCGCAGCCTGCCCCCTTCCAGCCCGCCCCCTTCCTGCCCGCAGCCACCAGGACCCCTGGGAATGAGCCCCCGGCCTGCAGGGTGTCCTTTCTCCTGCATGTGTGGCCGTTTCTTGGTCTATTCAAGTCCCCCTCCCTCCTCTCCGGACACAAAGGGGGAGGGAGTCGCCACAAGTTTGTTGAATGAATGCACTCCAAGGGCCCTTGCACATTTACCGTGCAGTGGCTGGCGCTGCGAACGGATGGACCCGGGTGTCGTCAGGAAGGCGGTGTGAGTCACATGTTGAAAGACGTTCCTTCCCTTTCTGACTTAAGCGTCGGAACGATTACAAGAAGCAGGGAGTGCTTTCGCGTGATGAGTTAGCAAGCCGGAGAATCGCGTCCAATTACATTGCTTAAGCCTGCTGTGGCAGTTTTGCATGCTTAGTTTTTGTTTTCTTAGTTCTGAGTTCTGGAAAGGAAGTTACAGGAATTAGTGAAACAGAGTGAAAATCGTTTGTTTTTTTCCCTTCACAGGGAGTGGATCTTGTCCTAAATCCCTTCTGCCAGGTCCTCCTCTCACGTTCTCACATCTTACCACTGCAACCTCTTGCAACTTGTTCTGCAGGTTTCAAGTTGTTGCCAGTCAGGAGTAGCTAATTTATGTCTAAGGTTAGGGCTTCAGCCAACTGGCAACCTGTTTTATCAACAAAGAGAAAATAAAAATAAAACAACCTTCCCTTTTCTTCCTGCTTGGAACTAAGCTGCAAGTGGGCCACAATCTCTGGGTGGGCTCAGGACGATGATTAGGCAAAGCAAAGTCTTTCAGATCAAACTTTTTTTTTTTTTCGGTTATTGTATAAGGCTCATGCACTTCCCAGAGAGAGGGAAAGTAAGAAATCCCATCCCTGCCTCTCCGCCAGGGGTTGCATGTTAGAATACCTTTTTCATTTTCTTGGGATTTTTGCAGGCTTATGGGCCTTGCCAGACTTTCAAGCCATAGGGTTTAGGCCTTGAACCAGGGTTGACCATGTGGGAATCCAGCATCTCAACCACCACACCACCTGCTGGCTTCCCTGATTCACTTTTAGATTTAAATTTTCCCCCCAAATTTCATTCAGGCCATTGCTTCCAAGTGATTAAATGAGCCAGATCAACCTAGGGCTGACCCATACATCTCTCCACATCTCAGCAGAATGGAGAAATGGAGGACAGGGGATTGCCATGAGACCATGCCCTATTGGAGGGTACTTGCTCTTCAGGTGTTGGTTCTCTCTCCCTTTCTTTCTGGTGAGCACAGCCTCTGGCAATTAAAAAAAAATCATTCATTCAAATATTTATTTACTGTCTGCTTACTATGTGCTTGGTAATTCTTCTGGGGTTTACAAGAATGAAAAGACAATGCCTGTCCAGCAAGGAACTACTTACTGTCTGTTGGGAAAACAGACATGCAAATAACAGATCACAGTCTAAGATAATTGTGAAAATTGTGCAGCAAAGGTAGGTAGAGAGTGCAGAGGAAACATTGTAAACTTCCAGGATTGGCTTGAGGAAGTCAGGGAAATTTTCAGGAGCAAGAGATTTGGAGGATGAGACAGTTTGCTTGGCAGCTTGCAAATGGGAAACACCTGCATGTGCAAAAGCCCAGAGGCATAAGAAAATGTCATACTTTGGAAAGTAACTAAATGATGTTGAGCAGAAAAAGGTTAGTCAAAATTTATCCAGAAATCTTCAAGGGTCTTGAATGCCAAGGAATCAATTTTCAGAAACAGATAAAGGGAAGCCATTGAAGAATTTTGAACTGAAGAATGTTAAGAATCTGCCTCTTAACCACCTCAACTCCCAAAGTTGATTTGATCATCACTTTAATAACATATCTACCAACTGGACTCTAATTCTAAAACAACTGGTTTCATATGCTTTAGATGCATTTGGGTAGAATAATTCTGACTTTGCTGACAGAAATTCAAGAGTGTATATGGGACTTTGGCAAACTTTTTCTCTAAAGGGGCACATGGTAAATAATTGTGACTTTGCAGGTTATACAGACTTTGTTACATTTACTCAACTCTGCCTTGTAGCCATAGCCAGTAAGTAAACAACCAGACTGTGTTTTAAATAATTCTTGATGGCCCCTGAAATTGAATTTCATGTACTTTTTCATGAAAAGTACAAAATAGTTTTGTTTTTTTCATTTAAAAATATAAAAACCAGTTTTTAAAATGTTTTAAAGAATTATTGAATTTTACTTATCATTATTGTTTTATAATTTGCTACAGGGCACATGCACTCACCAGAAAGAAAGTAAGTCGCCAGGTCTAGGACTTGAATCGCCGTCAGCCATGTAGGAGTCCAGCATGTTAACCACTGTGCCACGTGCTGACCCCCAAACCCATTTTTAGCTCACAGACTTCATAGGAACAGTGAACAAGACGAGCCCTATTATATTAAAGACCTTCAATTAAAATCAGAGTAATACATGACTTACACTCATACACACTAATACACACAAATGTATGTATTAGGTTGTTGGAAAAGTCATGACATATTTTTTAATGCTTTTCTATGCAAAAACCCAATATATATCATACAGGCCAGAAACAAATTGCAAACAGTGTCTATTAAATACCTTAACATAAAAATGTTACATCTGTGTTTCTACTGGTTTGCCCTAGCAACTATGATTTCTCTTCTTTTAGTTGTAGAAGACTCTGCATTGCCCTAAGTAAAAGATTCAGAAGAAAAGACTCCTAAATTCAAATTCAGGAGCTGGCAGGTGGCATGGTGGTTAAGGTGCTGGAACCCTACATGGTCAACCATGGTTCGAATCCCAGCCCTGGCATTTTGCTTTCCCTTTCTCTTTCTCTGGTTAAACTAAAAGATAATAATAATAAATGAAACTAAATAAATAACTCTTTTTAAAAATTACAAATTCAAAGTATTCTACTATGGGATATATTTTCTTTATAGTTTTCTTTATTTTCTAAAATTAATTTGTATGTTTTAGTGGAGAGAACCTTAGAAAGGAAAGAAGGTGGTACACTTAAAAAAATACATGAAAAAAAGAAAAGTAGATAATCTAAAATGAAATACTGTTAAGTATTACTATTAATGAGAGAATTAATAATTCATATAAAGTTCCATTTTTTTATCTAAAAATATTGACAAAGATTTTTTAAGTGGAAATATTCAAACCTATTAAGGGAGCAATCTAATACTCTTTTCTCTGCTGGTGACAACACAAATTGATAAACTGTTTCTGGAAAGTAATTTTCCAAACCACCTAGAATATTAGACTTTATAAACTCTGTAGGAAACACACACACACATACACACACACACACACACACACACAGCCAGTCCTATCGCCTGGGGGTTAAGGGAGCCAGATCCCACATGGACAACCATGGTTCAAGTCCCAGTCCCAGTGGCTTGAAAAACATGCTGGGGGAAAAAAGGTAAAATTTGAACTATAAAAAAAGAAAACATGCTGGGTATGTATGTACATGCCCCAAGTCCTGACAAGATGGAGAAATGGAAATGAGATTGCATAACCATGCCCCACTGGGGGATGCTTTTCCCTCCCCCTCTCTTTCTCTGATAAGTCCACATGCCCTCTAGTAATTTTTAAAAAGCAGAGAAACAAAACCAAGTTTCCACAAACATTTACAAAAATGCCATGCCTTTCAATTTGGTAATAGGATTTCAAGGTTATCTGTTGTGAGAAAAATGTCAGAGTGTGGTCATAGATTTATGTCTAAGGATATTGTTGCAGCATTATAGTTACTTATTACAACAAGTCTGAATAGCTATCATAAGGAAGTTACTAATATAAAGTATGATACATTCGTTATAGAATATTTGACATCCATTAAAATTAACATTTTAGATTCTACTAAAGGAAGTATCTAAAGCAGTCAAATTCATAGTCAAACAGAAGTATAATAGTGGTTGCCAGAGAAAGGGGTGAGAATGTGTTGCTGACTGCGTATAAACTGATAGTTTCATTTTACGAGATGAAAAATGTCTAGAGAGTCATTGCACAACAGTGTGGATATACTTGACACTACTGAGCTGTATACTTAAAAATGATTACATTTTATGTTCTGTTCTCATTCTTACAGTTCATGGATTTTTAACTACTTGGACTTAAATCAAAGGAGAAAAGGTCAAATAGGCAAAAAGTTAATTTCTTCTTTGCCCTTTTTATGGATTGATAAATCTTTATTGAATGACTAAAGAATCAAACATTGAGTCAGATCTTTGGTTTGAAGACAGCAAAAGATACTTCCTGGCCTTAAGGACCTTCCAATCTTAAATTATTATGTTTACTGTTTATGCTACAGGAAAAACGTAACTTTTTTACAGTGCCATCTATCCAGTCATTATTAAGGTATAATAATTGTGAAGTGATAGAATTATCCATGATTATTCTTCTTTCAGGTCAAACACTATTCAAAGTACTAGTCAAATCTCTTTCACCCAAAGAATTAGTCCGGATTCATGTCCCTAAACCTTTGGACAGAAATGATGGTACATTTTTGATGAGATACCGAATGTATGAGAGTGTCAATGAAGGGCTGAAGATAGAGGTGCTTTATGGGGACAAACATGTGGCTCAGTCACCTTATATTTTGAAAGGTAAGTGATTATTATATAATCCAGAGCCATCCTTATGGTAGGTCCCATGCCTTTCAAAATAGGTTTTGATGACTTCAAAGTCATGTGTACATACCTTTTAGAGCTCAATTTTAACTTCATATTTTTAAGGGAAAGGAAACCAAATCATTTAAAGAGATTTAAATAAGAAAAAAGAATGATGTGTGTTTACCAATGTAGCTACCATTTCTGCTACTCAATCCCTTTGATTAGATCCATATATTCATCTACTACCATTAGCCCTCTGCCTAAATGCTTTCTTTCTTCATTATTTTTATTTATTTATTTATTTATTTATTTATAGAGAGATTTTTGCTATAGGGTATATGCACTTGCCTGAGAGAGACAGAAAGTGAGAAATACACACTCACACCCACCTCCCTGGGAATGGCCATGCCGCGATCCCTTCACATCCATTCTCCTCTTTTGAGCATGCACACACATGCACCTAGTGTGGGTTTTAAGCCTCCTGGTCTGGGACTCAAACTGCAGTTGACTCTGGGGGAGTTGAGCAACGTAACCATTATGCCATCTGCTGGCCCCCTACCTAAATGCTTTCTATTCATATTTTTTTTAGTGTAAGAATACTGGTAATTAATTCTCCCAGGTTTTGAATGTCTTTATTTGCCTTTGTTTATAAAAGACATTGTCACTATATAGAATTATAGGTTAATAGGGTTTTTGCTTTTGATACTTTAAAAATGTTGCTCTACCGTGTTCTCCCTTGCATTATTTCCAACAATAAATCTACCCATTATCCATGTCTTTGTTCCTCTCTATTGCTGTAAATATTTTCTCTTGAGATTAGCAGGTGGCATAGCAGTTAAGGCGCTGAACTCCCACGTGGCTCACCACGGTTCAAGTCTTGGACCTTGTGGCTTGAAACTCATGCTGGGCACATCCCAAGAGAAGAATGAAGGAGAAGGGAGTGTGATGTTGTGTGATCTCTCACTTTCTCTCTCTCTCCCTCTCTCTGTTGAACAAGTACATGGCCCTATAGTAGAAACTAACTAACTAACTAACTAAATAAATAAATAAATAAAAATTATATAAAAGAAAAGGGGACAGAAAGTAGAAACCTGGTACTCTGACATAATTACTTAAACTAATATTTGACAAGTGCAAGATTATCTCTGTCTGGGTAATCTTAGAATTTACCCAGAAGCAGGGGCAGAAGTAGTTCCCTGTGCCTCTGTGCTTGTTAATTGAGTGTGGCATTTCTATTTTGCTTTCCCTAGGTCCAGTATACCACGAATACTGTGACTGTCCAGAAGAGGATCCTCAGGCCTGGCAGAAAACTCTTTCTTGTCCAATCAAGGAACCACAGATTGCTAAGGATTTTGCTTCCTTCCCCAGCATCAATCTCCAGCAAATGCTAAATGAAGTCCCTGAAAGGTTTGGGGATGAAAGGGGTGCTATTGTTCACTACACAGTTCTCAATAACCACATTTACCGAAGATCTTTAGGGAAATACACAGACTTCAAAATGTTCTCTGATGAGATTTTGCTGTCACTGGCAAGAAAGGTAAGAGAATGAATGGATTCTCAATATAATTAGTCAGCTGTAACATTTAAATGCTTAAAATTATTGTATAATGGTAAAGAATGAAAATGGGTTTCAGGCTCAGAAACATGCATGTGAGATATTTACCACTTGAATGTTCATTAATCCTTTGTGGATCTCTCTGTCTTGTAAGATTTAAATTAAATGGCTTAAGCTCCTATCCCAGGTAGGGAGGTTCCTGTGAGCTCCCAGATAGCCCAACCTTGTAGTCATTTGTTTAAGTTCTCTGTTTCTGCTGAATACACTTCCCATTCAGATTTCACCTTCTGCAACTGTTTTCTTCTCTTCACCTGAAAATGACATGGACTTAAAACACATTTTCCTTATTTTATCCTGAGCACTTTTAGAAGATAGTGTGAGTAGCACATCTTGTTGAAGGTTTGGGTATCAGAGAGATTATTTTGTACCAGTGCATACAAAAAACCACCAACCAACTAAACAAACAAAAATCTAACATTTAAAAATAGACAGTAGAGTAGTGCATATAGGTGACAAAGTAATAGATACTTAAAAAAAAATGGGCAGGCAGGTGGTGTGGGGTTAGGGCGCTGGACACCCACATGGCCGAATTTGGTTCAAGTTCCATTCCTGTTGACTTGCTTTCTCACTTTCCCTTTCTCTCTCTTTCTCTGTCTCTCTCTGGTCAAATTAAAAATAATAATAATAATAACAATATAAAATGAGGGGCCGGCAGTTGGCATGGTGGTTAAGGGTGCTGGACTCCCACATGGCTGACCATGGTTTGCGTCCCAGACCTGGTGGCTTGCTTTCTCACTTTTTCTCTTACTCTGTTCCTCTCTGGTCCAATTAAAAGTAAGTGAGTGAATAAATAAAGCTAAATAAGATAATTCTAAAAATATATACATATAAAATGAATAATTCTTTACAAAAACAGTGATTTTCAGATATGCATAACATGGTATGGTGTTGAATGCTAGGGATGGTGAATGTGCTTATATCTTTGATTTCATTATTGTACACTGTATATATGCTTTACAAAACCATACTCTACCTTAAAAAGACATAAAACAATTATATACAAATCAGAAATTTTAACTTTTTTTTGAAATATTTTTTCTATAGGGTGTGTACACTTGCGAGAGAGAGACAGAGAGACAGAAAGCAAGAAATCAGCCCCCAGTGGGGGGATAGCCATGCCATAAATCCATTCTCCATTCTCCTCTTGAGATTTTAGACTTGCACACACATGCTTGGTGTGAATTTTAAGCTGTCAGGTCTGGAACTTGAACCACAGTGGACTACATGGAAGTCCAGCAACGTAACCATTATACCATCTAGAGATCCCTAAAAGCATTTTGTTAAAGACATCCCTATACTAATCAGATGTTCAGTCATCGCTCTCTCTGATTTTCTCACTGGCCACCTTAATTTTCAGGTCTTAGCCTTTTACTCAATGTGGTAGCTTCTTTTAGACTCCCTACAACCCTCAACAGTCCTCCTCTATTCTGCTTTTCAGTCCCTCTTTCCACATGTGCAGAACTCCAAATTTCTCTTACTCAAGGAGGTCAAACTGCCTCTTGTTATTCCTTGTTCTTCATCAGCCAGGGTGAAGGATGGAAGCAGGCAGTCTTTCTCACCCAGAAAGCCCATTAAGGTAGTTTACTAAGCCAAAAGCCAACTTCTGTAACTGTTAACATAATTTCCCAGGTATGCTGATTATGTGGCTACAATTGGTTCTTATTTTAAGGAGCAGTTGCCTTCTCCCTTTCTGCAGCCCGCAAAATAAGCATATGAGCATTTAAGGGGCATCTAATCCTAAAGGTTGAACGTTCTTCCTGGGCTACCACCAGTCCACTCTGCCCTATATTCTTGTATCTTATACTCATGTTGCCAACTCCATAGCAACTGGAGATGACTGTGATCCTCAGGGAACAGCTGGCAATGTCTTACAGATATTTTGGTTGTCACAACTCAAGGGTTGCTACAAGCATCCAGAGGGTAAATATCTGACAATGCACCAGACGGCCCTCCACAGCAAAAAATTATCCAGCATAAAATGTCATGAGTGTTAGAGTTGAGAAACCTTTCTGCATAATAAGAAGTGGAGTTTATTCATGAGTTTGTGAATAATGGTAGGGAAGTGAGAGAATGATTATTCATATCTCTTGCCCAAGGCTCACGTGCCCAAGGAAGGCAGGTCAAGGTTTGATATGCATTTGAAGGATGAGAAAGGAGACTGCCAAGCTGAGTAAGTACTGGGTCATCGGAAAAGTTGTGACTTTTTTTTTTCATGGTTTTCTATGCAAAAATAGATCGTGACTTTTCTGACAATCCAGTAAAATACATTGCAAAGGAAGGGAATTACATAGTAATGTGATGGCATTTTCATAGTGTAGCTGAAAGTTTACTGCTAGAAGATGAGACTTAAAACACTAAGGTGGGGGACCAGCATTTAGTGTAATGGCTATGTGCTCGACTCCCATGTAGTCGACCGCAGTTCGAGTCCTGGACCCAGTGGCTTAAACTCACGCTGGGCGCATGTGCATGCGTGCCCAAGATCCCAAGAGGAGAATGGAGAAGGGCCTGCGGCATGGCCATCCCCCCTGGGGGGTGATTTCTAGCTTTCTGTCTCTCTGTCTCTCTCTGTCTTTCTGGCAAGCGCACACGCCCTGTGGCGAAAACCTCTCAAAAAAAGGAAAAAAAACCCTAAGATGGAGTAAGACGGGTAGTCCTTGAATGCCAACCAGAGAGATTGGACCTTCTCTCACAGGCTTAAGGTTCTGTTAGCCTTAGTAGTGACATTAATTTGAGTTTTAAAAATTCAGGCAGCCTTGAGAACAGATGAGAGTGAGAAGAGGCTAGAATCAGAACACTGAGTGAGGAAGCTATTGCAACAATCTAGGCAGAAGATGATAAGGACCTAAACTAAGGCAGTGACCATGGAGATGGCAAGAGTAGTGGCAGATTCCATAAACAAAGGAAGATGAATAAAAGAGGGGAGGGTCATGAAGGGAAAGAAGGGCTTAGGTCTAACTCTGTAGATTCATTTTTAAAAAATAAACATTTTAACTTTATTTATTTTCATTTGACCATAGAGGGACAGAGTGAGGGAGAGAGAGAGGGAAAGTGAGAAAGCAAGCCACCAGGTCCAGGATTTGAACTGTGGTCAGCCATGTGGGAGTCCAGCACCCTTAACCACCATGCCACCTGCCAACCCCTGCAGATTCTCATTAAGGCAGCTGGAGGACAGGGTTCTCAAAAGCCACTCATCCTTACACACTCTCCACTTCTATAATACTAAATTTTATAAATTTTTTGTTGTCATTTCTTTTTCCATGCCAGCAGGTTCATAACATGAGAGAGAGACAGAGAGAAAAAACATTCCCCAACAGGGCTGGTCATGCCACAGTCCAATAATACTAAAATTTAAATAGGAACTCTGGACCTCTAGAGGAAGTTGGCTCCTGGTTAAGTGAATTTTCATCATCACCCAAGATTTTCTGGTGACTCAGAGTCATTCTTTGCTCTTCTACAGTTTTTGAATGATCAGTTCTATTCAAAATAATTAAGAAAGTCAGAGGACTGTAGTATTTTTGTACCAAAGACTGAGGTCTTCCCAGCACTGATGGTTATACTTTTGTTTATTTAGGTTCTTCTCCCAGATTTAGAATTTTATATTAATCTTGGAGACTGGCCCTTGGAGCATCGAAAAGTCAATGAAACCCCTGGCCCTATACCTATCATTTCATGGTGTGGCTCTCTGGATTCAAGAGATATTATCCTTCCAACATATGACATCACTCACTCCACACTTGAAGCAATGAGGGGTGTTACAAATGATCTCCTCTCTATTCAGGGAAATACAGGTAAATTAAGGTAAATTCTCCAAGAAGCAACTTTAAGGAAAAAAGACGTGAATGTTTAGAGTAAATTAATATATTTAAATAACAAACCTTGTTTTCTAACCAAGAAAACAAGAAAAATATCACCCTACACATTGAAGTCATTTGTTTAAGATTCCTCTAGTCCAAAATTTAAAGATGCATAGTTTGGTTTAGTAATGTCCAAATCTACCTTAATTGAATCTCCCTTGAGTTGGTCATTTGTAGACACTATTTCAAAACACATATTTGGTCAAGTTGTCACTTAATTCTGATTCTAATGCCTTTATATTGCTGGATGACATGATAATTTTGAAAAATATAAAATAATATACAAATATAAGAGAATTGTGATAATAGTGTAATCTGGATATTATTACACTTTGTAAGAAACCCTACCCCATTCCCTTTTTCAGCCTCTCTGGATCCTTTAAAACCTGAATTCCTCTGTGGATGGTCTTAGATTTATGGTACAACACTCCTTTTTATTAAACCAGATACCCTGAGTGGTAAAACTCTGCCCTGTCTTCTTTATGGCCTCTATTTCTGTTTATTGTGGTTTGGTGGACTTATTTAGTAGATAAGACCATAGACTTTTGTAAACTATCTAAAGATAACATGAAATAAAAACTGACCTACCTTTCATTTGATAACAGTAACTTCCTGAAAAATGTGCCCCTTCTGATTTCTGTATTTTACAGTTTATCCCTTAGAAAACTGACAGGTGGGGGCCAGCAGTTGGCGTAATGGCTACATCCCTGGACTCCCATGTAGTTGACTGTGGTTCAAGTCCTGGACCCAGTGGCTTAAACTTATGCCAGGCACGTGTGTGTGCGTGCCCAAGATCCTGAGAAGAGAATGGAGGAGAAGGGATTGCAGTGTGGCCATTGCCCCTGAGGGGTGATTTCTCGCTTTCTGTCTCTCTGTCTCTCTCTGTCTGTCTGGCAAGCGCACGTGCCCTATAGCAAAAACCTCTTAAAAAAAAAAAAAAAGATTAGCTGATGATAAAAGAGCTTTAACATCTTAAAGGACAATGGTAGATGTAAGATTATTTATATGCTTACCATATAAAAATGTCAAATTCATAATCATCATTTTTTTTATGACTTCAAATTTCTAGGGCCTTCCTGGATCAATAAAACAGAGAAAGCTTTCTTTAGAGGAAGAGATAGCCGAGAGGAGAGGCTCCAGTTGGTGCAGCTGTCCAAAGAAAATCCAGAGCTACTAGATGCGGGGATTACAGGGTACTTCTTTTTCCAAGAGAAAGAAAAGGAGCTTGGAAAAGCCAAATTAATAGGGTTCTTTGATTTCTTTAAGGTATGCATTTGAGTCTTCCTACATGAGTATGAAGAGATAAATTTAGTTTTAAAGTCTACTAAATAGATGGGGTTTGGCAGATATCTCCTGTCCTGTGAACTGACACACATTTTGACACTTTCTTAGACACAGGGAACTACAAAATTCACTGTGTTTTCCTTTTGTTAACTATGTACCAAATAGTTCAGAACTGTATATTGTGTCATTGGAAAAGTCATGACATATTTTCCTATGTTTTTCAAAGCAAAAATGTGTCATGACTTTTCTGAACATCCAAGAATACAAGAATTATCCTGGGATTTTTGTGTATTTATTTCTCTTACTTATATTTAATAAAATGGGAATATAAATGTCTTTGACATGAAGTAATCTTGATATCGTTTGTAAATAGAAAGA